GAGGGTAAAGAAAACAACAATTCATATAATTTGGCTGAAACACACGAGTGAAACCATCACTAGGATTATTTTATATTCTTCCTTTCACCTGAACCTTTGAGACTGAAAAATACATTTTACTCCCAAACTTTCAGATTTCCGAGCGGATCACCGACCTCATCAGCTGGTTGTACTTGGCCAGTCTCTCAGACCTGCAGGGGGCGCCGGTCTTAATCTGCAGCAGAGAGAGAATCAGCAGCGACGTCGTTAAGTCTAGAATCAGATTTTCTTTTCTGATGATCTGAAACCAGTGTTTAAAGAAATTGGCGTGGGTGTGTGTGTGTGTGTGTGTGTGTGTGTGTGTGTGTGTGTGTGTGTGTGTGTACCTGTCCGGTGCACAGTCCGACCACCAGGTCAGCGATGAAGGTGTCCTCCGTCTCTCCTGAGCGATGGCTGACCATCACACCCCAACCGTTCGCCTGAGCCAGTTTGCACCTGAGAGACAAAGAGCAGGGACGACATGAACTGTCATAAACCCGACACCGTACATCACTTCCTGTTCTTTGTTTATCGTCTGTACAGTCGCAGCGTTAACCGAGCTGCTGGTTTCATGTAATTCGTTTACTTTCTTTTTTAAATTGAAATGAATCGAAGAACTCGTACGCCTGTATGGCCTCGGTGACGGAGCCGATCTGGTTGACTTTGAGCAGCAGGCAGTTGCAGGCTCGCTCCTCGGCAGCTTTCTCTATCCTCCTGGGGTTGGTCACCGTCAGGTCATCGCCAACGACCTGGATCCCCACTCGAGCTGTGAGACGGGACCAGGCCTCCCAGTCGTCCTGGTCGAACGGGTCCTCGATGGACACCACTGGGAAGACGACAGGCGGAGGAAAGAGCGTTAAAAGAAGCGAACGACAGAATGTCTCTGGCAGAAGGTCAACGATCCGATAAAACTCCTCCACCTGGGTAGTTGTTGACAAAGCCCTGGTAGATGTCGGCCAGCTCCTCTGCGCTGATGTGTCTCTCGGGGTCCGGTGGTGATTTGAAGTCCAGGTCGTATTTGCCCTCGCGGTAAAACTCCGAGGCCGCCACGTCCATCCCGACCACCACCTTGTCTGTGAAGCCGGCCTTCTCGATGGCGGTCTGCAGCAGATCCAGAGCTGGAGGATGAGGAGCCGTAAGAAAACACAGGATAAAAGAGACAGAAGATGACGGAGCTGGGCTTCACGTCTCAAACAAATAGAACCTCCTTGGTGGAGGGAATGAAAGCTCCTCACCTTCGCTGTTCTCAAGGATGTTGGGAGCGAAGCCTCCCTCGTCTCCCACGTTGGTGGCGTCCTGACCATATTTCTCCTGGATCACTCCCTTCAGTGTGTGGTACAGCTCTGATCCTATCCTCAACGCCTCCCTGGCAGACGGAGGCAATGCTACTGAGAAATATGATTCTACAAGTTTGCAGAAGGGTTTGAAAGATGAATCCTTACTTGAAAGACTCGGCTCCGACAGGCAGAACCATGAACTCCTGCATGGCCAGTTTGTTTCCAGCATGAGATCCTCCATTTATAACGTTGAAGGCCTGAAGAGGGAACAGAGGACGATGACGAGTTAACGTAACGAGAATAAAATAAACTTTATCTCTCTGCTGCAGATGGTTCATGTGTGCAGATGTTGTGAGTTTGTGCCTTACAGGAACCGGCAGCACCAGCTCCGTGTTTCCAGCCAGGTCGGCTATGTGACGGTACAGGGGGACGTCTTTCTCCGCTGCACCGGCCTTACAGATGGACAGAGACACTCCCAGGATGGCGTTGGCCCCAAACTGAGCTGCTCGACACAAGAAGAGACAGGAAGTGAGTGATTTCAATTTGATTTAACTTTCTTTGTAACACAGGTTTGGTTTCTTTTTACTTCTGTAGAAGTATCTCACATTTTAAACAAATATATAATCTGTGCAACTCAAACAAAAAAATATATCAAAATCCAGTATTTACATGAAAATACCTCTTTTAGTTTTAGAATTAAAACTGACATCGTTTCATTTTTCTTTGAGTGTAAAGCTGTGAAGGATGATCATCTAACCCCTGCAGGTAAAAACCATCTTTTAAAAGAACAGTTATATCGTTTTTAAAGTTTAGAAACCTGCTCTTTTCCATTTTCTTACTTCATTTCATAAACTGAGATAAAATGTGTTAGTGTGACGGTAAAATAAGAAGCAGAAGAAGAAGCAGAGTGAATACTGTTTAATTAGTGACGCTGCGTCCTCTGAGCTCGTCTCTGTAGATCTGTTAAAGTGAATTAAACTCAGCTGCAGTTTATTCTGACAGGCTTCATGTTCTGGATGAAATTAATTTCCTCTAACACCATTAGTTTCAGGGCTGTTTGCTTTGCTGCCTGAAACGATTCATCTGCAGCTGAAGTGTGGATGGAAATAAATGAACGCAGTGTTGATTCATGCAGGATGTGAGTTTGCTCAGTGTCTGTATTTATGTCGATGTTTGTTTTCTGACTCACATTTGTTTTCCGTGCCGTCCATCTCGATCATCATGTTGTCCAGCTGCTCCTGCTCCACAACGCTGACGCCCTGCAGACACACACACACACACACACACACACACACACACACACACACACATCATGTGACTCAGTCTGTCATGTCAGGGTCAACAGTACACGCATGTAGTGGTTACGTGTCATCACTGACGTACACGTGTGTTACTGTGAATATACACGTAAACTACAATGATCAAAGCCCAAGTTTGGTTTGAATTAGTTATTTGATCAATGAGTGACAGCTGAGACTGACTCCTGATTGGTTAAGCCAGTGTATGGAAGGGTCGCACACACACACACACACACACACACACACACTCTGATAGCGGAGCCTTTATTTAGCAGCTTCCTGTTTATCCAGACGTGATTGATTGACTGCATCAGTGTCTCCTGTTGTTTTTGTCACATTAAAGTCGAAGCTGGACACGTGGACACAGTCTCACTCACAGACACGACTGATTCAGTCTGACTGTGAAGGTGAAGAAACACGAGTACAACGTCCCAGATGTTTCTTAACTGATTAAAAAGATCCGCACACAAACTGTTCACCTGAGGGCAAACGAATTCAAAACCTCGTCCCTCGTTCACACGAGGAATCAGTTTATAGAGATCGACTGAACTTACAGAGGCGATGAGAGCTGGAGCCAGAGTATCGTTGATGTGGCCGACTGCCTTCAAAACACCTGCAGCAGGGAACAAATGAAGGAATCAGTCCGACAGAGAGAAATTAAAATCCTGCAGCTCCAAACGCCTTCATGTTTTTTATAACCTCATCTTCCTTCCATCCCTGAAAATCCCAAATATAAAACCACAAACAGCAATTTCCAACAATTAAGAAATCTCAGATGAATATTATAACATAACACCTCTCTTCTGACTGTCATCCAAGTATTAGAATGGAGCTGGCAGCCAATTAGCTTAGCTTAGCATAATGACTGAAAGTTGGGGTAAACAGGAAGTGTCCAGTGTCCCAGAATATCCAATTATTAACCTTCAAACCTTCGAACCCACAGTCAACCAGCTGCCCAGCTGCAACCAGAGAACCAACTTAACATCCAGTCCATGAGTACACGACGAGCAGCTGGAAATACAGAGGCAGGTGTTTTTAAATGTCCATCGTCCACCTGGTTTATTTGTCTTCATACCTTTGCCCTTGTAGCGACTCTTGTCTCCATCTCGGAGCTCCAGAGCTTCGTAGATACCTGTGGACGCTCCGCTGGGCACGGCAGCCCTGAACAGACCTGAGACACAAACACAAGGGTAAAAGGTTTGAAGCGACACTGTGTTACTGAGCAACAGCGCCCCCTGCAGCCACGTGGTTAATTCACCCAACCATCAAAACTCCCTTTAATCAAGAGGAAACATTCACACCCTGAACTTCCTCTCCATCGTCATGGATTTGAAACTGATGTTTTTATATTAGCATTCAAATAATAGTTTTAGCCGACATCTGTTCTGATAATAATAATAATAATAATAATAATAATAATAATAATAATATTCAGATTTCTGACATGATGAATCCGAGCAGCCTGTAATGAAGATTCAGTTGTTTCGTTTCTCCCTCTGATGTTAAGACAAGCTCATCGACGGTCACCTTTCTCTGTGCGAAGGTCCACTTCCACGGTGGGGTTTCCCCGGGAGTCCAAGATCTCCCTGGCAACGATGCTGACGATCGACATCCTGAGAGAGAGAGAGAGAGAGAGAGAGAGAGAGAGAGAGAGAGAGAGAGAGAGAGAGAGAGGCTGTTGTGAACTACACCTGCTTCACCCTCTCACACATCGAACATGGACTCTGGGAGCCGGAGTTAGAATAACGAGTGAGTGAGAAGAACTTTTAAAGGAGACGTAGTCTGGTCATCTTCAGGTTGATCATTTCAATGAGTGTAATAAAATGTCTTCATGCTCTAATGTCCAGAAAACTCTGTCCTCAGACTGTCCATCGCTGCTGCTCCTCTTTTCAGCCTCTGTCTCAAACACTTGGTTTTAGCTCCTGTCTCTTTAAGACCCTCCCCCCGATGAAGCCCAGTCTGCTCTGATTGGTTCACTACAGTTTCCAGGTTGAACGACGTGTTTCCTCTGAAACGTGTCAACGAGCTTTCCTCTCATTTAGTGGGTGTGTCAGGGGCGCTGTCCAATCAGCAGTGACGTGCACATAAACTCCGCCTTGTTAAAGAGACGGAGACGAGGTTTTTACCTTTAAAACACGTCAGAGGATAGAAAGACTGAAAAAACATCGTACGTCTCCTTTAACACGGCACGATTTCCCCTCAAACTGGAAACATTTAAAATCACTAAACATCACACAAAGTAGTTTTGGGATCATTTAATTTAGCCGCACAAATTCCAGTCAATCTGAAACATATATATTCCTAATGTGTACAATAATCAATTTCATCCATGCGTCCCAAATACGGACTCTAAATAAAGATGGACGACATGGCGGCCCCCTTAAGTGAAGCCGAATTGTCTTCACCGCCCCCTGGTGTCCGGCTGCAGTACAGGTCATAAACCCTTTACGTTGGTTCTGTTTTTACAGATTCCTTTTAAATTTCTGGGTCGCCATCATCAACCCTCCAGAACCTCAAGAGCTCCGTCCTCATCGTCGTTTCACCACCACCCGACGTTAATCCATTCCGTGGGTGCGTTCCCTGCTTCTCCTCTTTCATATTCAGATCACGACACTCTGCAACGATATGTCAAAAAAGAAAAAGGCCTTTCATGTGGCGCTCGTCTCCGCGCTGAATGAATACTTCACTGATCTGCGCTGAGCTAAATGTGGCGCGCTGCTACCTGGCAGAGCCTCCATTTCAAAGAGTGTGCGGTGGAACTTCAGAGCTGAAGCTGAGTCGACGGCTTCAGACGCTTCTTCTGTCATTACACCTCTTTGTTCATCAGCGCAGGAGGAAGCCGATGATCCATGGGACAGAGAGGAGCAGGGATGTGGAGCATCTGTCTGAGTTTTGACTGATGATAAGTTCTCAGCTCTCTGTAGGTGACCGTGCCGTGATTTAACTTCTGCAGCGTCGGTTTGTTAAACCCATTTTCAGACCGGCCACTAACATCTTTCAGTCTCGGGTCGAATGACTCAGACGAAGGAGACTTGACACCCGGGTGAACGTGCTTCTTCTTTATTTTTTGCAGTCGCTGCTTCTTTTCCAGCAGGACACGATGACACACGCTGGACATTCTGGTGTGGTGATTTAATAACCACCAAAGTTTCTGAACTTATTTGTTCTTTTACATCTCGGGAACACAGTGATATTTTTATATCACACAACATACATACGTGTTCGTGATGTCACCTGAGTATTAAGGCCATCGAGCAGGAAAAAGAAATTCATAGACGAGCAGCAAGGATCTAAAATCTTAAACAATCTTTTCAAGGTCCTGATACTGACGATGCAGTTACAGGAGACAAACTAATCTTCTGATATTCTCCATCTAACATGACACTGATTCAAATTATCACTCGATTCTCCTAATGTCATGAAATTATGTGATTTTCTCGATCGCCCCCTGGTGGCCCCCTTTTTTAAAAATCAGAAAACATTATGAATGTTCTATTTTTATGTTTTCAACTTAAATAGGTTTTGTTCCTACAAACGTCAAACGGGTTAAAAACAATCTGTTCTAAACAGTTGATGCTAAAGATGTTCTCTTCACGTTGTTTGTTCCTTTTTCTTGTTTTATTTGCTCTGACTCTCTCTCTGAACTCAAACTCAGTCTGTTCCTGTAAAACCTGAAGTCGTGAAAACACATTTCTTCTCGTCCACTGGGACACAAACATCACATCACTCCTCCTCTCCTCAGTCTCACAGTACGTGATCAGTTCTCCGTCACAGGGGCCTCGTCCCCCCTGTTTCGCTGACGGTCCATCACGACACCGTGCGCCTGACACAGTTCTCGTTCTGAATCACGATGAAAGCGTCGGCGAGATGTGCAGAAATGTTGCTCAGGACAAGAACCAGTAGATTCTAAAGAAACATCCTCACACTCAGAGTCAGGGGGATTGAAGCGTGGGTGATTTTCTACTTCTCTCTCTCTCTCTCTCTCTCTCCCTCTCTTTCTCCCCCCCTCTCTCTCTCTGCTGTGTTTTGAAGCCCCACCCTGTTCTGCTGCAGTTTTCCAAACACCATCTCCTGAGGGCGGAGCAGCAGTGGAGCCGTAGAATCAGAAATCCTGTTGTTTTCTGCTCTTTTTTCGTGTTTCTGATAAAATCCTGAATACGTTGACATAAACTCGTTGATGTTTCCGCTCTGGTGAAACTCATCGTGCATCATCGCTCTGAGACCAAGTTCTGAAACCAGTTACGGCTCTGAGGCCTTGACCTGAATGCTACATGCTACGTGCAGTTTAACCAGGAACATTGAGCAGTGTCGTGGGTTAGCATGCTAACTTTTACTAGAACGCCCCAATATTGCCCACAAATTCACAGGATCCAGATTTTTATTTGCACCAAATTGTACTAACTCATAAATATCAGTCCCCTAAATGTGATTATTCTAAATTAAGAAGTTATTCTCAGAGAAAACTTTCTCACAATGTTGAAGGAAGCAGATCCGGATCACCACTTAAATTTAATGAGTTCTTTCCTGACGCATAAACATTGAAATTTAAGTTAAAATATATTTCACTGCAGGTTTTTTCTTTTTTCTGCTGCTGATAAGAGAAATCTCACTTTGGTCTGGAAACATCAGATTGAGATTATTGTGACTTTGTTTATTATGAATATAATAATGAAACGGTACATTTTATTAATATAGAACTAAAACAAGCTATAGATTCATATTTTAAATCTTCAGCGTCATGTAGAGGAGTAAAACAATCCTCGTTTATTTCCCTTAAATATTAAAATATTTGAAGTATTCATGACACCATCTGAGTATTCACTGCACACACTCATCTCATTTCCATAAACACATGTTCTTCCTTCCCATCTGTCACCGCCCTCAACTCATCTCGTCTCCATCCCTCGCTCTCCCCTCTCTTTCTGCATGTCTTCCTGTGTCTCTCACCCATTGCTGTTTGGGCACGTTCCTGTGAGTGTTACGTAAGCTCTACAGCAGCAGCAGAGGGAGAGGGAGGACACCCATGAACGCACCACGCCACACCACACCTACCAGAGACTGCAGTGCTCAGCAGAAAATACAGCAGCACTGGAGAGGGAACACGTGAGAGGGCGAGCCAGGCAGAGAGTGAATGAAGGGAAGGAGAGAGAGAGAGAGAGAGGCATGCAAAGGAGAGAGAACAGGGACAACATGTACGTCATCGAGCATAAGGGATATGAGGTCAGGAGGATGGAGGGAACGAGATGTAGATGCAGATGTAAAGAAACACATGAAAGAGAGAGAGAGGATGGAGGGATGGGGGGGAGAGAGGAAGAAAATGAAATCAGATTCATCAATAGGCCTAAATATTAGATCTGTGTCCCTCTCCTTGGAGGTTAAAGGTCGTATGATGTCGAAGGGAGTTCATGAAAAAAGGAACAACAGCCTCTGTCTCTAGAGCAGAAATCTTTACAGAGCAGAGTTTTACTGATGCGACCTTTTACCGCAGGTCATTAACGCAGCCTCTGTGTGGTGGAGCGGCACCGACACCAGAGAATGAACGTCAGGAAACCTCGACCTCCGCTTCACCAGCGTTCACCTTTCTGAGTTTTATAAATGAATCCGTGTTGAGTTCATTCACCTTTTACTGTAAATTTGAATGACAGTGTCGGAGACAGTCGGCGTAATGATATCGTACATTTGTGATTGTTGTATTGACTTGAATGGTATTTTACATCAGGTTTAGATCAACAACAGACAGGAAACACTTAAACTATAATTATTCTTAATCTGAAATTGCCTCAAAATGAATCTACATCTCGTTGGACTTGCAGTTATAGCCCCTCACCAGTAGAGAGTGCTGCAGCCCCCTCAGCACCTTCTTCTTCCACCGTCCTTGTTATATTATTATTATTTAATTCAAGATTGACGAGAGTAGACTGATTACAATATAGATGATGTAATAACCTTTTGATTAAAAGGTGAATACGTCATAATTTATTTATGAATGATTGATAGTCAGAATAAGTACTCATATATGTACTTTCGTCCAGTACTGGAGTAAATGTACTCGGTTACTTTCCACCCCACAGGTTACATGTTGGGATATTTACGGATATAAATCAGAATAGTAATTAAAGATGGACGACACGGCTCCACTTCCTCCTGAGGCAGAAGTTAAAATATCTTAGATACGGTTCAGATCGAAGCATGCACTCGACCAATCGTGAGTCGGTCTCAGCTGTCAATCATGACGCCTCCGCCTGTTTTCATATCATCAAATAAGTGATTAAGTTGAACAAACATCAGAACGACCTGAAATGACAGAAACCATCTTTGACAAAAATGTACATAACGTCTACTTTGATTTTTCAGTTTGCTGGAGAAGGAGAAGATTTGTTTTTCTTCTGTGAGTCGACTTCTTCACAACTTTAACGTCACAAATTAAAACTGTGATGTTTATAGAAACTAACACCGTCAAACATTAATGTTGTCAGTGTTTGATCGTCACACCGGAAAATATAATAAAATGTTTTGGGGGTTTTTTGGTTTTTAAACCAAATGTAAATGATGAGGAGCGAAAAAAGAGAAAAAGACAAACTGAAGGAACGAGTGATGAAAGATAAAATATATGCAGAGAAAGACCTGAAGGAAAGAGAGGGAGAGGGGGGTGGAGGGGATGGAGGGGATGGAATGGAGAGTGGAAAGGAGGCAGGGCGAGAGAGATAGAGCGATAAGGAGAGGAGGAGAGAGAGAGAGATAAATAATTAAATGACTCTGTTTGGCCCGAGAAGAGACGGATGAAGAGAGGGAGGAGGAAGAGGAGGAAGAGGAGGAACAGGAGGCTGATCATCACACACACACACACACAC